GCTTTCCCCTCGCCCTCTGCCTCTCACAGCGATGCCTGCCAGCTCCCCTGGGGAGCCTGGCCGATTCAGGCAGTGCCCACCTCCTCTTTAGCTCAGTGCTGGTCCCACAGCTCCATCCGCAGCTCAGACCTCCCTCCCTCCTGCCCGTGATCACTGCCCCCCTTTTGCCTCTGGCCCCTGGGCCTCAAGTCTGGGCTGATTCCTCTGACACTTTTCTGGGCCCGGCTGTGCTGATTCATTCCTTTCCCTGGCTTCCCCCTTCCTCTTTGCCATCTCTTGCCTCCTTTACAAGCCTTCCAGAACACTCTTCTTACTCTCCCTTTGCCTCGAGCCAAAACCCCCCTCCCCAGGTCCTCCCCATCCCCTGTATTCCCTCCTCCCAGCTGCCCCCACTCCCCAGCCCCGGGAAGGGGCTCTGGGAGTGCGTGGAGCTAAGCGGATGGGGACTGGGAACCGGGCACCGAGGGGAGAGCATGACTAGGCAGGAGCAGCAGCGTGAACTACAGACTCAGGAAAGGTGGGCCCCGTCCGGGAAACGGAGACACTCAGCGGGGAGAAGACAGAGAGCAGCGGCTGCTATGGAGCTGGGGAGGAGAAGCGGGCTCCCGCGCGAGGCTTTTTATTAAAAGGCAGGAGGTAGGCATTGCAGCCCCAATGTCGAGCTGCACCCACAGGAGGAGGGCACTGGCCATATTCCCAATGGAACTGGCAGGCATCGCTGTGAGAGACAGAGGGGGAGGGGGAGGCTCCAAGGTCACGAACTGGGCCCAGAATCCCTCCCAGAAGGAACCTCCAGAACCGGCCCTCGCTGACCCTGCAGCAGTCTCACAGCTGCCCTTGGAAATGTGGCCAGATTCGGCCACTTCTCACTCCTCTTCAGCTCAGTGCTGGTCCCACAGCTCCACCAGCAGCTCAGGCCTCCCTCCCGCCCTCCTTTTGCCTGTGATTTCCCTCACCCGTGCCTCTGGGCAGCCTGCTGCAGGTTCACTGGGTCCCCAGTAGTTCCACCTGGTCTTTTAAAACATCTCTGTGCCTCCTTCCCCGGCCCTGCACCTTAGCGAGAGGCCTGAGCCACAGCACAGGATGTGAGGGCCAGTGAGAAGCAGAGCCCCCCCGGCCCCACCCTAAGCCCCACCTGGGATCTGGGACCAGGGCACTGAGCACAGCTGCGATCCGGTGTGTGCACCACGCAAACCTCAGGGACAGGAGCGGAATCCAAGGTGGGAGGAGAAATGAGCAAAGGCTGCCAGGCAGGTAGAGAGAGCAGGTTTGTGCCTGTCACCACTGCGTCCCCAGCACACTGTGTCCCCAGCACAGAGTAGGCCCTCAGGGAAGATCTACGATTGCATGAAGGATGGCGATGGGCACGGGAAACAGAAGATATTTGAGTCAACTGGCCGCTGACTTTGCCGCCACCATTTGGGCTCCGTGGAGCTGGGAAGTTGATGAGCAAAGCAGATGAGCAGGTGGAAGGGGTGTGAGCTGAGTCCCAAACGGTGGGCAAAACAGTGGGGTTCGCTCTGTGCCAGCATAGGGTAAACAATAGGTTCAATCCTACCACCACCCTCTGGTAGCTGTTACCGTTATCCACTCTGATAGCTAAGGAAACAGAGGGACTCATCCAAGGGCAGAGCCAGGGCGCGGCCGAGCTGGGATGTGAACCCAGGACTAGCAACACAGAGACCCGGCTCCTTTGCATGATGAGGTCCTCTCTGTCTGCAGCTGTTGGGATGTCTCAGCAACAGCAAAGAGGAAGAAAGAGGTCGAGAGAGGAGGAACGAGTGTTCGGCTGCAGCAGACAGTGACCTTCAGCTCCCCCAGAGGGAGGGAAAGTGCTCTGACCAGCCGACCTGCCCGGCGGCGAGGGCTGAGGCCACGTGGAAGGGCGCTCAGTGAATGGCAGAGTTGACCGTCTTTGCAGAGGTCGTGGGCAGAGGGAAGGGGAGAACCTGGGAAGCTGCAGCACTCATCACCAAATGGAAGGACAAGCAAATCGTGGCGTAACAGTGAAGTATTATTCAGCTACAAAAAGGAGTGAGGTACTGACATGCTACATG